CGTCCATCCTTCAACCACTAGCAGCCGGCGTGCTTCAGAGGCTGTCCGCAGGCAGGAGGCGTCCCACAGCCACCGCTGGCGCGCACGTCTGCCGCTGGCGTGGGTCCCGCCGATCGCCGATCGCCTCGGCTTCGTCGTTTACGGGAAAAATAAATGGTGAGGCCTTGTGCATTGTCACACTCGTATCCTCCTTCGCACGAGAGGGGAGGCTCCGGCCTCTTGTGGTCTCGCGTGATGGATCGCCGTCGCTGAGCAGCACAGGTGCGTGGCTTACCCCAAGCTGCTGCGAGCGAGCCCCCAGCGGCTGTGTGCACTTGCCTGCGAGGCCGGTGGCGCTGGAGCGACGAATCCCCGGCTTCGTCGCTCAGCTGGTGAGACCGAGCCCAGCGCGATCCTGCCGCCCTGCGAGGGGCAGGTTGGCTGCGCCAGTGCTGCGCCGCTGGTAGGGCTGGTTAAGGGTGGCTTTGCAAAACAAGCTTCCTGTCGCGCTCCTCGGAGTGGCATACACTGTTGGAGCCATGCCTGGCGCCCAGCTCCCGGCACACGAGGAGGTCCGGCACGATGCTGGAGCCTGCATCGCGCCATGATTGTGGCTGCTCAGACCATGCAAGCCGGTAAGATGATACCCCACCTCGGCGATCCTCGGCGCAAGTTTCACCCATCGATGCCATGTTGATTTTAAATAAGCTCCGGCATCACCACATCCGTGCGACGGCCGAGATGCGCAACCTTTGCATCAGCCATGGCTGTTGGCCGAGCCGTGCCAGCCTTGTGTCGATGTCACAGTCTGCACGTTGCACGGTTTCCCAACTGACTGGCAACTGACTGGCTCCGAAATCCGCGGACCATGGAACTTGCCAACTGTTGAGGTGCGTCCGGCCCGATATCTGCAAGCCACTCGGGCCACCGAAACGTGTAGTGAGAAATTCGGAGAACGCCTTAGGACATGTGGCGCCGCGACAAGCGGTTGGCGGAACATGGGTTTGCCGCCTTGGGCACGCCCATCGGCACGGCTGAGCACGCACAGGCATGGGGGGGCCCTGAAATGGAGGAGGCCCCTTTTTGCGGCAGTTGCCGCAAATGCCCGACTTGCACTGTGCCGAGCTCCTCCTGTGCTATTGTGCTGCACCCCGTGCCAGCCACGCGCTCTGCACGATCCCCCAACCCTAAACGAACCGTTTGGGCGTGTTGGGCCTCGCCCAAAAAGCGAGCCCCCCGCCTGGGATGAACTCGCTCGCGGGGCCACACCGCGCGCGGAGGATGATGCTGACATCGAGTTCGGTGGAAAAAATGGATGGCAGCGCCGTGCGTCTCGCAACCTTTTCTTCCGCGACCACGCGCTGTTGCCTTCCATGCTTCCGGCGTCCCGTGCAATGCAGTGCTCACAGGCGGGTGCTTGGTTGACGGCCATCCCGAGCGACCCTCACACATCGCACGCCCCGGACGTCATGCAGATAGCACTCCGCCGCAGGTTACGGCTCTCGCTGCCGTTGGCACCGGCCACTTGTGGTGACCGCGGCGCGCCTGTCTGCGGCCACCGTTCGGACGCACTTGGTGCCCACCCACCCCTTGGAATGCCTCAGCAATGCCGCTTGTGCGGCACCTGGTCGCGCGGCACCGGCCGTGCGCGGCCCCGCCCGGAGACACTGGTGGAGTGCGCTCTCCACGGAGTGCAGCAAGCGATTAGTCACACGGCACTCGGCCGAGCACGTGCTGTGTCGGGCCAGCGCAGAGTCGGGTGCCAGCGTTGGACCAGGTTCTGGCCGTCGCACCTGCCGACTCCGTCAGCCGGCTTCCGTTGTGCTGACTGACCGGCCCGAATAGGAGCAGACCGCCCCAAAGAGAAAATCTTCGTTTTTTGCCGCCCTGTCGTGGAAAACTCTGGGTGATGAAATGAGATGAGCTGAATTCGATGGTTAACCAGGGTCAACCGCATTAAGAGGCAGCTGCGAAGGCCGCATATCTTGCAACTCCTAAAACCCTAAAAAAATGGCCTGTGGTTACACGTTACGCACCTGCACTTCGTTGCCTCGGCATTTGTAGGCGAGCATGCGCGTTGAAAGCAGAAGGCAAGAAGGCATTGAAGCTCTAGTCATGAAGTCAATCTCTGCTGGAATACGTAACGAGCACACGTTGTACTGACATTCCATGGGGTGCCGGGGAGCCCTTCGCTCGCCCAAGTTGGCTTCAATCTCGCTCTGCCATGCCACCAGACCAATAATTCCTCGAGCTCAGACGACGTTTTGCGAACGCATTTGGCCCTATGCCGAAGCTGTTTGCATTGGCTCCATAAGACTCGGATGTTATCTTGCACAAAATACATACATGACTACGATTGCGAAAGAAGCTGTGACGTGTTATGTTCTTCCGTTGCAGCATCGAGCTTGGGTTGCTCTTGGAGTCTTGTGCGACCCGATGGATTGATTGAATTTGAGTAGTGTTGATGGTATTGTGTCACCATGGCAGAGCAGCTTGCGGAGCGCTCGCACACGTCGAAATGCACTAGCGCATTTGCCTTGACAGAACAACTTCGCGCTATCGCCCGGGATCTGTGCCTGGTCGGCGCATGTCTCGGATTAGATCCGTTGCAGCACTGATATTGCAATCCGGGGTTGACTTGGCATACACTGAATGTGGTGCCTGCAATTGTGCCATGAGGCGAGATGCGTGCAATTTGCCGAACGAAGAGAAGCAGGCTGCGTTGCACAAATCGGCCGCTCAGCTGGATGACGCTGCCGATGCGGTCGGCAATATGGTGAAGCAATTGGAGTTTCGCTCAGGCCGGGGGTTTCGTTTAGACGGAACAGTGCGAAGGTGTGTTTCCCTGCATGATTGCAAACTTGGCGCTGGAAAAACGAAAGTTTTAACGGGCTTGCGCGCGGCCTGCTTTCAAGCTAGTGTCCGAAGCAGGTGGTTCTTTGCCGACGCATTTCGTCGGCGTGCGGATGCCTGTCCACGTGCGGCGCCGACTAGGCCACTTGCAGTCGGAAATACTCAAGCGAGAAGCACGCGGGGCCCTTAGCTCACGATTTTGGCCGCCCCAGCTCCGTTTCCTTGGGTCATGGCTCTCTTTGTTCGACTGTATGTTCGATTTCGGCAACATGTTGAGAATGCGGAAATTTCATGCGAAGTAAAATTGTCTAAGAAACTCCTGTGTGCATGCATCATAGTATCAACTTGGCGATGGTTATCTCCAGGCTTGCAAAAATCCGCCGTTTCCATGGAGATGCACGGCGGCACTGGATTTGGATCTCGCCGCCTAGTCGCCTTGCCAAGTGAGGCGATGGAGTTTCGCGGCGAGTGGGTCGCAGGTCTGTAGACTGTAAGGTTGCAGGATTTGCTCAGGAATCATGATCCCCACTTCGTTCATTTCCTGCAACATTAAGGAAGTCGCACGTTACGCTGTTGGTGGCAAAGCTGGCTTTTGACGATATCAGCAAAGCGGCAGAGGCCATCTCGGCGCTTGTCAAACCGAAAGCACCATTCAGTTCTATGTTCACTTTGCCGGATGCTGTGGCACTTGATGGGTAGATCATCCCGACCCATGCGATAGACCGCCCTCCGCAGCTTACCAAGCCTGGAACTTCACAATCAAAATATGTTTCCCACCCAGGCACTGCAGCGCGGGGCGGAGGCTTGGCGAAGCGAAAGACTTGGCTCGGTGCTGCTCGGTATTGTTAGCTGTAACCATGATTTGTACACAACCTTTTGTCATACTCCAAGCAAGCAGGTTTATCTCGTGCGGTAGTGCTTTGAGGTTTTCCGGATTGCGAGAGGTTGGTGCCAGGGGTACATTGCGTGGAGAAACGGACATGACTGGTACAAACGTGTACTGCATGTATGTATGTGTTTATACATGCCTGCCTGCCTGCATGGATGGATGGATGTATGTATGTATGTGTGCGTGTGTAAATTGTGTGTGAATATACAGTGTAAACAGAGCACGCGTGTGTAGTTTTCTTTTCTATGTACACGAAACGTGCCCGACTGTCAGTGCGCATAGCTTGCACTGCCGCGAAAGACGACAGCATCCCAGGCAGATTCGAGCCGAAGGGCTGGGTCATTTTCCGCAGAACGGCGTACTGTACACTCGCTTGCTGCCACGCGATGTATTCGATTCGTTGCGGAAGCATTTGATGCAAGCATTTGCTGAACGCGGCTTGACGCTGGTGGACGAGGCTGGGATATTCGCACTGTTGCTTGTAAGTTTTTGTGCTTTCGTGCCCGTCGCTGCCTAGATGCCGGATGAAGCAATTGCAAACGCGGAAGCATCGGCAAAGTCAGGCTTGGTGGGTTCACAATGCATGTTGACCGGCAGGATACCTTTGGTATGCGGGGACAAGAGATGAAGAGTTTTCCTAGAACGTAGGCCCAAATCCCACATTCAATCCAATCGAGGCGATGGACCATCAGCTGATGCAGCTGAAGTGGCAGAGGCTATGGAGAAAGAGGAGGAGAAGGAGAAGGAAGCCAGGCCAGTCCAGCATAAACATCATTGCTTGGCGATCTTCACACGCGGATTGAAAGGCGAATTCGAACTGTTGCTTTTTCACAGCCACCAAGCCGATGCCGGGTGCTGTGATCGTGTTGTTGTGTTTTTCTCCTGCGTATTCAGTCTGTCAATCTGAAACCGGAACATCAGAGCCCGTCAGAGCCCCTAGCAAGTCAGCCACTGCGTAAACCAAAAACTCCGTATAGCTCCTATTCTTGACCTGCAAACCTGCACCCGGAAGCCTTCATCTTGGTCACCAAACCCTGAAACCGTTAAATCCGAAATCCAGAATCCGAAAGCTTTCGCATGCGTGATTGGCCCGTTGCAGGGCAGAAGACTCCGTGGAGTCTGAGCATCAGGCCCCAGCTCCGAAAAGCAAGAAGTCAGGCCCCCGGGCGCTAGAAACGGGGAGGTTTACGTAGCAATGACAAGCCATTACAATCAATCATTGCAGTCCCCAGATATTCGGGGTATGCAAGTCTTGGTCTAAGTACTAGGGGCCCATTCGATTAATTAGATGTGTGCTTTACTCAGCTATCCAGTCGTGTGGCTACCAGGTAGCTGTCGCCACACGTCGATGCGTAGCTGGGATGCTTTTCCGTTTCTAAATTCCTGTAGACATTGTGTTGCTACTGTTTGTTTTTTGTTCTTGCTGTGCACTACCATCCACTTCATCATGTCTCACCGAGCGGTCTTCCGTGCTGGTTCGGAAACAGCTGTCTGACTTTGCAAGCCAGACAGTCTCCATGTATCTACACGCAGATCCGTGCAACAGCACTTGAGAAGACTGCACGATGTTCACTCGCATGGTTCTATTGCATTTGGATGGGCTAGCCTGGAGGCCGCAAGAAGAAGCTTCCTGGCGAGCCCCAGATGCACTCATCCCGAAGTCTACCATTTGTATGGTGAGTCCGTGCTAGGCACATCTAGGCACTGTGAAAGGGTCTTCCACCCCCTTATTTGGAGCTCAGGGCACTTGGAACCAGTTGTTAGTGTGATTGTTACGAGTTGTGATTACAAAAAAAGTGCCTCAGGTTGCGAGTCTTAAACCATTCATGACTGGGTTGTTGGCAACCGTCGTAAGCTTTTCCCACGTACCTTGAACCTCCGCAATGCCCAGCTGCCGAGCCCAGGAGTATTTGCCCCACGTGACCCTCTTCAAGTCATCGCAGGCAGGGCGCGGAAAGAGTGGGCAGCAGGCCGGCTCCGGGGGGTTTGAGTGAAAGGTGCGATGAGGCTTGCAGGAGTTGGAGGTCTGCAGGTTAGAAGGGTGTGAGGTATTGCTTAAGCTTCTTTAGGGTTTGTGGGTTTCAGGGGTTGCCGTAGCTCAACGGGGACGTGACGACAGCCTCGTGACATCCCAGTCCCTGGCTGTCCTTGTAAAGAGCCAAACACCGTTACCATGATCACCATAATTCAGAGAGACCCCAGCTTCCAACATGTCGCCCTTACACTGCAGACCATATGGCCCTCGACCCTGGAACCCGACAACCCTAAGAAATTGAGCCGCGAGGCCGCCAAGGCTGCAAAGCAACGCATCGCCAGCGTTGCGAAGAGTCTGCTCGGAGAGGGCACTGAGAAGATCGCCTTCGGATCCTTCGCTCTGGAGGAGCGGAGTTCAACGCTGCCCTGAGCCCAAGACCCCAAATGTCCAAACTCCCGGAAACTGAACAGCTTCCCTTGATCGGTGCTCTCACAGTTACAGGCGATGTCGGGAAGAACTGCCCCTTATGCAAATTAAGCCTTGGGTTCCGCGGAATCATGTACCCCCAAACCTTAAACACCCTTGAACCCTATTCTAACTCTTCAGGCCCCGACGGATAGAAGGCTTGAGGGGTAAGGTAGGTTCACTTTGCAGGACCCTGTTCGGGTTGAAAGTTGAAGTTCTTTGCTCCTGAGGATTGTGAACTCCTGGCAATGCATCATGTGCAAGAGGATAGCTACTTTGAGGCACAGGCTTCCGCGAGGCTGCGGGAGAGTTCGGAGGAGGATGCCGCGAGTCCAGGAGAGGAGGAGGAGGAGGAGTTCCAGAAAGAGGCGAGGCAAATCCTGGAGCGGATTCCTGCGGCAGAGGCGGACCAGAAGTCTCCGAAGAAGCGGAAAACCAAGAAGAAGCAGACGAAAAAAACAGGCCAGAAGGACTTGGACTCAGAAGAGGAGCACGCTGACACAGAGTCGGAAGACGGCGAAGGAGACAAGTCCGAGGAAGAGGCACGTGGATCTTTGCAAGGAAACCGCCAGTCAACACTGAACTCCTAAGTAAGCGGGGCATCGTGGCATGCGTTGCGGCAGGAGCAGAACCAGCAAGGGATTCTCAGTCCAAAAGATTTAGAAGCCTCCGGCAGTGAGGGATGGAGAGAGCGAGAGAAGGAGACCTTGTCAGGCACCTGCCAAGAAGTCCTCGGCAGCCAAGCGCGGCAAGTTACGCGAAGCAGCGGCAGCACCAGCAGCGAAGGCAGTCTTCTCAGCCTGAGTTCTTTTGAAGACCACGTGAACCTTAGCAGCGTTTCTGTTTCGGCAGACATGCGCCGGGGTCTGTTGGTTCTCTAGATACGCACAGGTCAGGATCCAAGTACAAATGCGTGCATCAAGACATGCCTTGTGCTGCTCATGGGCAACAGCCTAATTAATTAACAAGTCGCAAGTAAGTGTTCCTAATTCCACATTTCAAGACATTGTTGCCTTTCCGGCCCAGCCCCGAGAGTCTAAATGCACAGTGCTTGACCCCTCACCTCTAGCAGTCTCAACGCTTCGCCTTTGCTCTTGCAAGTCCGTGCCTGAAGCCGATTTGGCAAACTCGCCCAGGTCAGCAGCAAGAAGAAAGCAGCGAGCTTCGGCATCAACGTGTTGAGTGTCTTAGTATTAATAGTCCAGTAGGTGACTTGTAGTCGCAAGAGTTCGGTTCGCAGGAGATTTCTCGTAGGTTGAGAGCTGCAAAGCCCTTCGTCCCAAGCCAACGTCCAACCCAAACAAACGTCATGACGCAACAGGGCCAGTGATTCCAGGTCCCATCATATGCCATGGGCCATAGCGTAGCCTGTCGTCTAGAGTGGTATAGTAAAGTATTATCATGTAATGGATTTTTGAACATATCCCAACAGGGCACACCGGAATATGGCATAGCATAACATGGCCCAGCATAGTAATGGGTACTACAACGTAATGTAATGTACAGTCACATTAGATTGTATTCTTCGCCGCAATGTAATGCAACGTCGCCAATTACAAAAGATCATGTTTCATGCCCAAAACCGACTCCAGGAAGAAGAAGGCGAAGGCTGCCCCAGCACGACCTGCAAGCGAGGAGGAGGAGGAGGAGCCTGGAGCCCGGGGCGCAGAGCTTTGGACTTTGGGCTTTGGTTTCGATTTTGGGCCGGGCAGATGTTTGAGAGTTTCGGATGGTGAAGCTACCTTTGCTTTAGCGGCCTTGCCGAGCTACCCGGCAAAGAAGCCTTGAAGAGCTGCGCTGCAGGAAGAGGACGATGCCGACGGTCTTGGCGGGCAGAGCCAGGAAGATCAGCGCATTGATCCGGAAGACGGTTTGGCATACACCTGGTCAGAGTTCAGTGAATATTACACAGGAAAGTATAAGAAGAAGGTGATCGAAGCTTACTGGAACGATTGTCACCTGGTGCCGAAGAAAGAGGTACCCCAGCCGAAAGCAGCTCAGAAGAAAGCAAGACGGCGCTGGTTCTCCAGAAGATGACACAGTCACTGAGAGTTTACAAGGCAGAGCTTGCTCTCGGGAAGGTGCCGGTGCTGCTGTATATCCTGCACTTGCGCGTCACGCTACGACATCAGGCCCGGCTGAAATATTGACGAGCGCACGCGTGGAACAACACTGACGCAAGTTCAAAGCACACTGGCATGCTTTTAGCCTGCTGTGGCCCAATGTCCAGACATGTCGTGAGCAAGAATTCCGCGCAGAAGGACACTCGCCGTGTTCGCCTCTGTGCAGATGCACCGTACCACCAGCACAAGCCAGCAGCGGTAACATTTGGTGCAGCAACCCCTGATCATGCCCTTGGGTTGGTAGCCGTGTAGGAGTTCACAGCTGCTTTGCACTGAGCTCGTTTCACTTCCATGCTGACGCACCATCATCATCGAATCGCAAGCCCAATTACCGTAGTACCATCATGTCATCATCATTACCACCACCATCTTCGTTTCCATCTTGACCTGCATGGTGATGACGACTTTAGCCTGAGCGTCGTGAGCAGCAGCAGCATCGCCATTGAGCATGAAGCACTACGAGTATGGGAATGCCAAACAAAACCCAAACCCCATTGTTGAAATTGACCGAGTCACAGCCCCACATGAAGCTCAACAGCATGTCTGTTCGACCAGAAGCAAACCAAACTTCCGAGCCCAAACTCGGACTTCCATCGACAAATCATTGATGGGCGCCTGCATTTGGCAACCTGCGAACAGGCAACATCAGTGATGGTAGCAGGCATGTCTCAGCAGGCTGCAGCTTTCTACGAACTGTCCCTGCAGTGCCTTCTGGGTCTACTCATGAGGAGCAGTGACAAAGCTGACCTCGCAATGATGTTTCTGCACCTCGCACATGTGCAGTTACGCTGTAGTCATTTTGTCTTGACAGAACACTTTCACAGGCTAAGAGGGACCCTGAAGAAATTGCAGTCTGTCATGCGACCACAACATGCCCTGACTTGGACGAGCATCCCTTCTTGCTTGCAGGTTGCTTCTTCATTGTGTTGTTGTTGTGCGCTACCTTAAACACGGTAGCGGATGTAGGTTGCTTGTTCTTTTCGTCCGGTGAATATGCGGCCCAGTAGAGGCCTTTGATTTCTTGCTGGCTCCGGTAAGATCCACCATGTAAGGCATTCTGTCCCTCTCAAGGTATGCTCGTTGCTTGAACTGCGGCCCTGCGCAATCCTTGGCTCCAGCCGATCCAAGCCAGCTGCTGACCTGTTGGATGTAGCTGTTTGCCAAATCCTCTTGCGAAGGGATTCTGTCCCTTGATGGAGAGTGGAAGGACTTTGGAGCAACCGTTATGCAGCTGTCTTGAACTTTGAAACACAGTATTGTCGGAGACTGAGCGAATTAGTTCCGACAAAGGTCATTTCTTGATGTTGAAACGGCAACTACACAGTCGTGGACATATTCTACATTACTGTTCTACATCATTTCTGGTAGTAGTCTTCTTGTTGGCTCCCGTGCACGGCAAAGGTCTGAAAAAGCCCTAGTTCGCTTGGCGTCGTCCGTTGCAGCCTGCACGTCCAGCACAGTTTTCTGCTTCAGCTTCAAAACCATAATATCATAAACACGCCTCCTCATTTGGCGATTCCGGTCCGTCATATATCTAAAAAACGCCCCCCTTGAGCGATTTCGGTTCTTTTTTTTTCTATAGATACATACCATGGCATATATCTTGAACGCACCCCGTCATTCGGCGACTTCGGTTCCTCTTCTATCTTAAACAGACCCCTCCTTTCGCGATTCGGGTTTAGATAGATAGATAGACCCACTGTCCCGCGCTCCGCGTCTCGCGTGCCTTGGCATGCCGCGTCCCGCGCCCCGCGCACCGTACATCCCGTGTCCCGCGTCCGCGTGCCTCGTCCTGCGTCCCGCATCCCGCCGCCTCCGCTTCAAAAAAGAACCTGTACGCCAAACCGCTGCTGTGAGTTCTGCCATGTGTTGTTGCTAGCATATCTCCACTGATTCGCATTGCTGATTCTAGATTTTTCGGGCGCACTCCCTGAGGACCCAGGGGAATTTATAAGATCTTAGTCTTCTTCCTGGCCTCCGCGGTCTGTTCCCTGCGCGACAAAAGTTCCGGGCCTTGTACACAGGGTGAGTGCGAGCCCAACAACACAGAGGCCTATGCCAGAGTGTTGGAAGAGGATGGAGAAGGCAAGACGCCTGCGGATGCAGAGCCTGCGTCCGAGGTAGAAGATGGGATAGAAGGTTCAGATCTGGACCTAGACCAGCCTCAACCTCGTTCTTTCCAGATGTCTTTCGAAGCCCTTCAGTCACCGGGGGTGAAGCTGGAAACAAGCGTCTTTGGAGGTGTTGACGCCCTGCCGGCCACGAACAAAGCGCGTAAAATCTTGGATGGTCGGGTGCACCTGGTTGGGATTGCGGAAAAGGATGTATCCCGTGCCAGCTTGTCTACTGTTCAGTACGAGTGGGTGCAGATGATACGGGGCAACAGAAGCTATACTGTTACCTTCGAGTGCAGCGACGAAAACGCCATAGCGTCATTGCCGCTGGCAGCCATTGGGCTGATGCCCACGCTCATCACAGTGCCTCGGTCAAGACATATCCCCGCCGTCAGAACGAACATGGCTCCTTTGCCGGGCTAAACAGATTTAGTGATTTAGGGCCATTTAGGGTCGCAATTAGTGGCTATCTTCTCCGTGAGCGCTTCACCATGGTTGAGCCTTCTGCATATAATACTTCTTGTGGTGCCAAGTCAGGTTCTTATTGGCCAAAATCACCGTTAAACCGCTTGGACCACTGCTTCCAGTGTTATTTGCTTTGTTGCAATACCCCCAATAGCAGGACTCGCGCTATCTTCTTGTTGTTGCTAGTGCATACCAGTTCAGCATAATGTGTTTGAAACAGTTGGAGCTGAGCAAAGCGCGCGGATTCAAGCCAGAAGTTGCTCAGAGAATTTGAGCCGCTTTAAACGTTTCGATTCGATTAGAGACCCACATTATTTCCATCAGGCTAATAAAACTGCAGCGGGCCACTTTATGCGTCGCTTTACGACGATCTGCCCCTGGAGTCCCTTATAAGGACTTCCACCAAAGCTTTCTTGCAAGGACGTTTAGCCGGGACCCTGACCATTACACAGAACACTTGTTGATCCGTTATACGGAAGGTCCTGCAGGCCCACTGACTACGAACCTTCAATAGGGACCTTTCCCACGGACCCCTGACACTCAAAAAAGGACCCTAGTTTTCACAATATTTCACAGGTGCCCACAATCATCATGGGCCGAATCTATTTATGCAACCCCATGGTTCCTTGCATGAATCGTGGACCTACTCAATCCCCTTGTAGACCCTTGCTGCGGTCTCACATTCAGACAAACTAGACTAAGCACCTGAAGTACAAACGAGCCAAAGTGTTTCAGCATCTGCTTCGATAGTTTTTAAGCCTGCTTCGAACAAGCTGAAACATAATGTCTCTTTGCCCAGCCGCCGAGGTGTTCCTCTCCTGTTTGATGCCAGGATTTCTTTGTGGCATGTGTGGTAAGTGCGGCTTCGAAGCTTTGGAAGCAGTGCCTGCCGGGCATGACGAGAAAACCGGTGACAAAGCATCATGCTTGGTTCCTCGCCTGAAGCAATCTCTGCTAGCAAGGACTACCAAGCACTGGTGGGTCCAAGCAAATCCGGCGCTGATTTTTGCTGCGTTCTCCGTTAAAGAAGTTATAAAACGCGTTTTGTTCGACAGCCACCTGGGTGTGGCAAGCCCTGCTATGGCTGCTATGACTGCTGTGCACGTTGCATTTCCATTACTGAGCTGCTTGTCAAGTCTCGCTGTGCTGTGGGGCCTTCAAGCTACACCAGGCGTGGCATTCATATCCGACACTGCGCAATGCCCAGCTGATCTTCAGAAATCCTTGCAGGGAGAGTTTGCCACTGTTTCATATTTTCTTGGGCCCAGGCTTGGCATGTTTACGCTTCTCTGGTGGTTGATGCCGTGTTCTATCTATGCACTTGCAAACACAGAGCAATGTTTCGAGCCGGCATCGGCGCTTGCACACGTTTCCTATTTGGCAGCTGGGTACCTGTTGGACATCTTGGCCAGTCAGTTCTTGCTGGAGGCCGTAATAGTGGCTCGCGTTGCTCAAGCTCACGTACGAACGACAAGGGACTCGCTCGACCTAAAACCGGATGTTGACAAGTTGCAGACATTCCACAAAGCCTGCGTGAGGCTTGTTGATGAGATCATGCTAGAACTTGCCAAGATCAGTGGGCCAACCTTAGGTTTGGCAGCATGCAGAGCTGTTTCGGCCTGTTTCTATGTCGTCGAGGTGGCACGCAATCTTGCTTGGTGGGAAGAGCCAGGGGGCAAGTTCATGGTGATAACTTTGTTGATGTCAATTGTCATTGACATGCCAGTCGGTCTCTACTGCCTCTTGCTCCCTGCTAGCGTTTCAGATGAGTGTGCGGAGTTGATGGAGCATCTCAACAATGTCAGGGCACAGGAGGTTTCCAAAGAACTCAAGCCCGAGGTGGACAGAGACTCCGACGCAGAACTTCTCTTTTTTGTTTGATATGACAGTTTTTGTTTTTTGTTGTTGCTGGTAGCAGTAGGAGGACGAGAAGCAGCAGCAGTGGGACTTATAGGGCTTGGGGGACTGGTGTTACGAGAGTAGGCACAGGAGCAGCATCAGCACCAGGAGTATGACTCGGGCTCAGGTAATTCCCAAGAGCAACTGCGCAGCATGAATCGCTGCCAAAGCCCGAACAGAATTGCACTACGTTCTGAAAAGCCTGTGTTTCTGGTAACCTTCGCGGCGCCTCAGGAGAGATCCGGCTAACCGAAACCTATTTGAACAAGGCTTCATCGGCTGGGTTGGAGTTTTGATTGATATAGCGTGCTTCCCTTTGCGATCCCTTCCCATGAAGGTCAACCGTGGCCAAGGTTTGGGCTTTGTGCTTTATGGCTTCAAGACGCTTGGGCTGAAAGTTAGGCAGTAAATGCCCCGGTTTGTGAGTTGCGCTCCTGTCACACAGAAGCCTTGATTTATTTGTCCCTTAATGCCGAAAGCAGATATTGCCTCAGCGGCTCAAGGCCCAACGGCTGACAAACCTGGCCCTGTGCTTACCGGCTCTGTGCAATTAAAGTAAGAAACAGCTAAACCCAAGACCCCTTCAAGCCAGTTGACCATTGCGTTCCCCCACCTCAAGCCCACGTGGGCAGAAAGGACAGTGGTCGACAAGCGGATGATTTTGTCCATGTTCGCGAAATTTGCTGCTGCATCGTCGCTCTTGCTGACACTGCTTCGCGAGGCAGGGTGCACAGATGGCCCCCAAGTCCAAAAGCCGTACAATCGGCCTGCTGTTGATTTGCACTCTGTCCTCATTCTACGGAAGGCACCAACTTCCAAAACCCCCAACCCCCCGTGTTAGTGTATCGTGAGACTGAGGGTTCAAGCGTTCCTTCCTGCGCTGAGGTCTACAGCCAGGAGAAGGAGATGGAGAACATTATGGTGAAGCTCAACTCCACGACTCAACAAAGCTGACTCGATGGCAACAAGACTTACAACACCTTTTGTCAGTTATTGCTGTCATAAGCTGTATGAGTAGTACTAGTGTGGACACTGCGTACTGTGTATGCCATTTCGCATCCCGATGGGCTTCGCTTGTCCTAGAAGCAGAATGCTTCTGAACTGCTTTGCCGAGTGGACAGACATTTCTGCTGGGCTTCGCAGTTGGGTACCCCGGCCTTGCCAGGAGTGTCGAGGTTTGGTCCGGACTTCCAGCTTGAAGCCTCGCCCTGTTTAGCATTTTGACTCAGGGCACAAGTGCCTCAGTAGACAAGGTGAACAGGATTTCTGTTTTGTCCAAACTACGGTTGTGATTGTTGCAGTCATTAGCATGACAGACAACTGCTACTTTATTTTCGGTGTTGTTGTTACTTATGTTACTAAGATTCTATGTCATCCCGCTAAGTACAATACCACCACCACCGCCACCGCCACCGCCACCACCACCACCACCACCACCACCGGCAGCTAGCATTACCAATACCTCGCCAACCGATACCATCGTCGCTGCTGCCATCGCGACCATGGACTAGCACAGACTTAGCTAGCAGCACACGTAGCAGCTCGGCGATGGCAGCTGCTCGTCTCGTTGGCGGATGAGCCACGTCCTCACATGCCTGCTTTGAGACTTCCAGTGGGCTGTGCAGCGGCGGAAGTTGGATGCCTGAGCTTCTTCAGCAGTCCAAAGTTCCAGGCTGGCTCGGGTTCGAGGCCAGTTTTCATGATGCAGTTAAGTTTAACACATGAGCCAGTGATGTCGACCATTGTACGCAGTACAATTTGGGCAATTGGTTCCAGAAGGAATGCACGCACAACAATGGCACTCCATTCCTTTCTGTCCGCACTCCCCGACTCTGAATTCTGTGTAGTCTACAAACGATCTCACGAATACTCGTTTTGCCAGCACAAGAAGGGGGGTCACGAATTCGCACGAAGTGTCGGCAGGTGTTTCTGTTTTCTATAATTCCAACGGCCTGTAAGCCTCAGTGCTTGCTTGCTTAAAGGTTTATAGGACACTTATCCTGCTTTTCTGGAGTTTATGAATCTCACGCACGACTCTTATCACAAATCCATGTGACACCATCATGAAACCTTTTGGAAGAGCTCCAACCCCTCTTTGGAAAACTCATATGGGCTCAGGCACCAGTGCATCACCGGAGGATGACGACTGCGTGCTTGTAAATTGCGCCGGCCTCGATACGCGAAATCCTGAAGAGGTCCAAAGTTGATGTTTGCAACGATCCGTTTGGAGTTTGGAGGTGACATTGAGAAGAAGCGAACGAGAGCCTACGAAGTGAAGCTTTTTCTATGGGATGTGGGTTTGCGCAGCACTTTTTTTGACCTGAAGTATGCTCTCCCGGTATTGCCCTGGTAATAAGTTTGGGGATGCCGGGGCTGAAAGTTGGATTGAGCCTGCGCGCGCGGGCGCTGATTGAAAACAGACACTCAGACGCTCAGACATTCAGACGCTCAGACGCTCAGACACTCAGACGCTCAGACGCTCGGACTCAGACACAGTGACTGGGGTTGGCCTCTACAGCTGAGTGGCTGAGTGACTGGGCTGGCCTCCACGGTTGTGGCAGAGTGACTGGGGCTACGCCTGAGTGGCTGAATGTCTGAGTGACTTGGCCTCCACGGCTGAGTGGCTGGTAGGCTGGTTTCAAACACGGGCCTCTGTGCACGCTCCCCCAGTCTCCCAGGAAACGAAATTACTGAAGTAGCATTTGAAGAGGTTTCCGAGTACTGTCCTATCGTGTTGGGTATAATTAGCACTTTCTGCAATGAACCTGAAAGTCTAAACCCCAAACCCTGGTACAGAAAAAGTATACCAACTGCGAACCCGTGAAACCTAAATAAGCCCTTCCATGCTCTACCCCGGCACAGGTTGCAAACAGCAAGCCCGAAGCTGCGCTCTTTGGCCTCAGGTGAGGCCAGGACATCTCCGGCCTCTGCGCGCGGCAAGAAGGCGGTAGCCTCGGCTCGGGGTGTCAGAAGGCGCGCCCGATGTAGGGGACGCCTTTAGCTTGAATCCTCAACCCAAAGCAGGGCCTCCTTCATAGTGTGCAAAGCCGTCGATCAACGAGACATGACGACACATTGACCGTATGCACAGCCAATGCCCCAGACCAAACCCACCAAAGCGATCTATGGACTCGCGAGAGCTGCTAAGGATGGCAAGAAGAGCGACGAAAAGAAGAAGAGGAAGAAGCTGAAGAAGGTGGGTGGGTATTGGGGTGGACAGTCCTGAACTCAACCCAAACGAGACCACCGAAGTCGCACACGTCACCATCGCCCCCAAAACTTCCAAAACCCATGCATGACAAGCTCAAGTATCTTTTATGGGCAGCGTCTACCAAGCGATCATGCCCGTGATTCTGAGCGCAAAAACCCTTACACTCCTGCAACCCTTACCCTCAACTCTGAAGTCCAGTTAACTGTTAACTCAGTCTTAAAGTAAAGCTTCCCCCTCGCAAAAGAATCCCAGGTCTGCTCCCACTTGCTGAGAGTTCCGAGTCAGGGCTGGGATTTGTGAAGCATCAGAGCCAAGATGACAGCCTCTGGAAGCTGGAGCCGTGATTAGCCCTCCAGACCTGGACCTAAAGCCTGTTTGGCAAAGTCTCAACCCACATCTTAATGCTGAGCCCCACCGGTCTACAAGCACCTCTGTGTTCTGCTGGCATAAGAAAAGACGAGGAAAAGAAGAAGCAAAAAAAGTTGAAGAAGAAGGAGAAGAAAGCTGCCGCCAAAAAAAGCGACAAGCAACAGAAGAAGGCCGATCATGCCGATTGGAATGTGCTGCCAGTGCTTGTGCTTCATTGTCGCGAATGCACTTATGACTCAAGCGGGTTTAATGAAGACTGAGTATGATCAAGATTCTGATGCACCTTGCCCTGACCACTGTCGTGCAGTAGTGCGGCTTGGTCCGATCCGAAGAACCTTGCTCAGAAGATTGTCCAGTCAGCACATGTCTAGTCGTATAGTGGATCAAGATGGTAGGGGCAAAGCTGCTGACTTCATGTGTCTTTGTTAATTCTTAGAGCATTTGCGGGAATGGAAGAGATGCGGCGTTCACATCCTCAACCTACAGAAGGACGGAACAACAAATTGTGAGCACATCCTGCTATCATGTAATCTGCGACTCAACCTTTGCTATCTAAAGTTGCGGTGCGTAATGCTCGCCCTGAGTACAGTGGATCCCGGCTTTTCAGCTGCTCGCGACTCGGCTGCCTCTGACAGGAATGAGTGCGCGGGCGCCCATGGAACCCTTTCTGCAAACTCGAATAAGATATGCCTCAACCGAGACATGTTCCTCACATGAGAATAGGTATTCACGTGGGGCATCTTGAAATCAGGGAGAAGCTTCCTCATCCTGCGGCACCGCACTGGCGAAAGAGCCAAGATTTCCATTCGACCACAGCCATTGCCAGGCGAAGCGGCGAAAGTTCGAAGGCTCGACAGCTTGGTCCTAGAGGTACACGAAGCTATGGCCCCTGCACCCTGCTTCTTTTTTGCCCCCACACATGCCAGACTGTTGTAAGACATGATTGCCGAAATCCTTGACTCGCTTTTCTCGCGCACAGACTTCGTCGGCCCATGAAAGCACACATGATCGCCTCGCCTTATCCCCATGATCAGGTCCCACTCTGCCGTTGCGGAGCTCGTCCTCGCCGGAGCCCTGTGTTATCTCTCGCGAAACACAAGTAATCCAAGGTTAGGAGTATGGGCCCTTAGGCCTTTCTAGGGACCCTGAAAGGTACATATAGGGTATATAGCAGGGGTGTAAGGATCCCAGGGTTAAGGGCCCATACTAGGGGCCCATGGTTTCAATCTTAGTAGGCTGCAAACACACAGTCCTACATGTTTGCTTACGACCATGAAAAGGTTTGACATGATACCGACAGCTATATTCGCACGCTTCATGTCGCCCAAAGCAGACAAGACACTGTTCGCGAATAGGCTCATTCACATAGTCAGTTTCTGCAGCTGCTGCTTCGCCATCATGTTCAACCCAGCGATATACTATACCAAAACACTGTTTTGGTTTGCCTGTCAGGGGACTCAGAAATGTTTGTCACTGTCGCAAGTTTCTCACCCTATTTCGGTCGGGGGGCGATGCCTTCAGCATCAGGCATCGCCCCACAGGCCAACGGGATCGAACATAAGGGCATCAGCTGAAAGTGCTTTTGCCCCGGTGCTGTGCGTGCGTGCGTGTTTGTTCGACCATCCNNCCCCCCCCCCCCCCCTGCCCTGTCTCTGAGCCAGTGGGTCTTGCTCCGGCGAAGTGGCAAGTGTCCAAATCCAAGCCAAGCGCCCGGCT